CCCCTCCTTTGTTAGCCTTTCACGCCAAAGCCGCAGCTCCCAACATGCTTTCATTACTGTATTCAAAATTTTTAAAAAAATGCTGCACTGCCGCTGAAACAATCAGTTTTAATTCCTCTGCTTTATTGTTGTTGGAAAAAAATGACGCGTATTACGTGGAATTTCCTGATCATCATACTTTTATTCTGGGATTTAATTAAGTATGCTTTATCCTTGACCACGTAGATAATGAATGATAACAGCATATGGGTAAGTAGTCAAGTGTACACAAGACGTACTCCATGAACTACGCAGGATCTGCCAATAACACCTCTATTGGAACACGCCCTGCACATACACGTATAGCAACTGGATATCCATGTGGTTACAATTCCCAAACAGAAACAAAATACAGATACAAATAGACACAAACGTTTTAACCCTTATCAAACCCCATTCCCAGAACAAAGTCCCCGACAAGCCCTTCTTGCTACTTCCTGAACAACTCATCCTCAAGCAACCCGAGCTCCCGCGCGCACTCCGAGGCCAAAGACACACGCAGAACTAGGTTACGAGCGCCTTCGACTGTATCGGCGATCGTAAATCCTCCCCCCCTCGTTCTCTCCCGAAGGTGGAACGAGCTGCAGCCGTCGCGAGGAGGCACGGGGAGCGAGCGAGATGCATGCCACCGCCTTGCACCAGGGACGGCTGGGGAGACGGCCCTCTCGCTGAGCGCTGTGGTTGTGAGCGCTGTGGTTGTGAGCGCGGCGACAGCGCTCTTTCTCTTCTCCTCGTCGGAAGCTCGAAGGCCTTTGAGAAAGCAGCCGCGCGGTTTCACTCGACTTTCAAAGCTTGAGAAATCCGGTGTGAACTAAAACGCCAGTGCGAGTGTGTCCGTGAAAAGTCTGCCGATTTTTGGCGTTGGAGCATCATCTTTTCAGCGTCGATGTGTGTGTGTGTGTTATAGAAATACATGTGAGTGGATGTTGAGCGCGATTGAGCAATATTACGTGCTGGAGGCTTGAACGCTTGAATGCAACACACCAAGAAAACCTAACCCCTCTTCCTTCCGTCGCCCACATCGCAAAACAGCGCCGCATAAAGGGGGGCCCTGCCGACGCCCCCGCACGCCGGCGACCCACCCCGACTTTAAGTGAAGAAGTCCTCCCATCCCAACGACCTTTCAGGAACTAGCGACGCCCTCAAGACGTGACGGACGCCCTCGCGACGCCCTCAAGACGCCGCTAAACGAAGCCAACACCTGCTGTGCACGCGGCAGGGTACTCACCTGTTGTAGACGCGGCAGGTGGCATTGTTGACGCGGTTGTCCGAGTGCCATCTGCGGCGGTCCTCGAAGGCATCCTTGATGGCGGTGATGCCCAGCACGAAGATGAGGGGCAGCATCGCCACCTCCTTCCCGAAGGCATTCACCGCCGGCACGAAGTTGAGCAGGACGATGAACAGGAAGTACAGATTGGCGAACCTGGAGAAAGGAGAAAAGACAAAAAAAAAAAAAAAAAAGACAATTAGCACGAAGAAAGGAAAACAGAAAGAGAAGAATCACAACGTAAGCTTTCCCTTTATTAAACCGCATCTTAATATCCTTTATCAAACGCCTACGTTCCGCCAATGAACATTACAAATACAGCAAACCGTAAATGTCTAAGCATACAATAACAAAAACACATCTTAAAGAGTAAACAAAATAAACCCAATGTCGACCCATATCTCAAGAACCTTCCCTCACCTCTCCCCCCTTCCCCCTTCCCCCTTCCCCTTTCCCCCTTTCCCCTCCCCCTCCCCGCCGCCACGCCACTCCACCTGACGCTCCACCTGACGCTCCACCTGACGCTCCACCTGACACTCCACCCGACACTCCACCCGGCACTCACCTGTGGAACTGCTCGAACAGGTTCTTGGGCAGAAAGGAGAGGATGGTGTACTTTGTGGTGCAGATGCGGTTGTCCGGATACGAGCCGTTCGGATGCTGAGCGCGCGACACGTGCGGCGGAACCACGTGGTTGGCCACCACCACGCGCGTCCGCGACTCCTCAGGGACCTGGCCGGGCGGGACCGAAGACGCAGATGAATACATGGAGAATTTAATCAGTAATATAAATTAAACAAATATCAAACAGGGTTTTAATGCAAATAAAATGATGTACATGTAATTGGAAACAAACTGATAAGCAGCTGAGAAATTAAGAAACAAAAATTAATTAACATAATAAGACAAAAATAACAACAAAAAAAGAAAATCTAATCAAAAGACTGGTAGTTAAAATAATGAACAGATAAAAAAAACTGAATATAAGAAAACCAAAAAAGAAAGCCAATTAACCAACAAATACGTAGCTACACTCAACCAACCATTAAAAAAATGTGCAGTTAATAAAAAAAAAAAAAAAAAAAAAATACAAATAACTAAAATGACATAGTTTCCGACGTAGGGAAGAAAAGCACTCCCCCCTCCCTCAAGAAATGGCTGTAATTTCTCTTCCCTTTCTCGTAATGAAATAATAACAGACAAAAAAAAACAACAACAACATCCCAGAAGCACGTCTCTGTTGCTGAACTACATCCAACGCGTTGTTGCAACTGCCCGTATTGCAAAAAAAACTTTTTTCCTTCTTTTTTTTTTTTTTTTTTTAGAAGCCTCGCCAGCCGTGACGCGTTACAGCCCACCATCTGCTCTCTGTGTGCTAGTAACTTTTCCCCCATTTAATACCGGCCGCAAGACACGGTCTTACGTCAGAGCCTCTTTCGAAAAATGCTAAAAAATGCCTCTCTTAACGATTCTGTCGTAGCGATTAACCTCCCCCCCCCCCACACCCACCCCCCTTGTATCATCCAGACAAACAAACAAACACACGCCCAGTCCACTCGAGATGCTGTGATTGCAACAGAAGGACCTCGCAACGCCCAGGAACCCCCCGGGGACTCTTTCAACTTTTGCAACAATAACGAGTCCATGTGCTCATCGTCAACCCGCCTAAATACTTTCCATTATGCAAGAGTATCCTTCGTGCATTCGTGACACAAAACTAAAACGGGACTACAAAGAACCAACCTTCCTTTCGTTTCCCACCCCTATATTACCCTTAGAACTCCTTCGTTTAAGTTACCCAATATTACCCCACAAAAACATCCACCCTTCGCCAAAACGTTCACAATCAGACCGTCCAGCGTTCGCTACAAACGTTCACAATCTATCCACCGCTCATGAAAAACGTTCACAATCAGACCGTCCACCGTTCTTTAAAAACGTTCACAAATATAACATTCCACCGTCACGAAAAAACGTTCAATTCACAGCTTCCACCGTTCACGAAAACGTTCACAATCACAACATCCACCGCTCACGAAAACGTTCACAATCACAACATCCACCGCTCAACGACAAGTTGTTTCGCCAAAAACGATCATCAGTCCTCACTCACCAGAACACTCACGTGCCGGCAAAACACACAACGACGATTATAGGCCAGTAGTACACACACCTACACACCACCCTCCTACTAGCACGCACGCACACACCAACACACACACACCACACACAACACACACACACACACACACACACACACACACAAACACAAACACAAACACACACACACACACACACAACACACACACACACACACACACACACAACAACACACACCACACACAAACACACACACCACACACAAACACACACAAAACACAAACACAAACACAAAACACACAAACACACAAACACACCCACCCCACCCTCCCTCCCCTCCCTCCTCCCCTAACACAGCCATAACCAACAACATTTGGCAAGCCCCGGCAATCGTAAAAGGAGCCCCTTAACGAACGCAAAACACGTCCCTCGTTCCCACACAAGAGGTTACGAATGTTTAAATGTATGACGATATGTCTGCGGTCAGGAGGAGTTGACGGGGAGACTGTGCAAGAGTGAACCAGAAATGACGGAGTGCAACAATGTTTAAAATGCATGTGCTAATAAATAAGATCTGTATATGCATGTGACTGAGAGGAGAGGAGGGAAGGGAAGAGGAGAGGAGAGGAGAGAGGAGGAGGGAGGAGGGGAGGAGAGGGAGGGGAGGGGAGGGGAGAGGGGAGGGGAGGGAGGGGAGAGGAGGGGAGAGGAAGAGGAGAGGAGAGGAGAGGAGAGGGAGGAGAGGAGAGGAGAGGAGAGGAGGGAGAGGAGAGGAGAGAAGGGAGAGAAACTAAAATAAAAGGGAAGAGAAGAGAAGTGACAAGGGAGAAGAGAAAGAAAAGAAGAAAAAAGAAAAAAAACAGAAAGAAAATATTGACCACGCAAAAAATCGGTACAAAAGCTAACTCAATCAGAGAGCAGAAGCCGCCGCCGCCACTCAGCCTTCTGACCTAGAACGTCCCCTCCGCCATGAAGTCCAAAGAACCCCCCCCCCCAGGACTCCGACGTTAAGTACCAATGTTGTCTTCATTATTCACACGGAAACATTCTCCACCGCTTTAACCTACATTTTTTTTTTTTTTTTTGTCGAAGTGTCCCCGTCTATGCCGGTATTTCCTCTTCCAGGTCACTTTCCTTCCCTGGCCGACTTTTACTCATTCATTCACACTCACTCGCGCTGTGCCTGCCTACCTGTATCTCCCTGCCTGCCTGCTCGCTTGTTTGCCTGCCTGCCTGGACTGCCTAGCTGACATGACTGCCTGCCTGTGCTTGCCTGCCTGCCTGCCTGCCTGCCTGCCTGCCTGCCTGCCTGCCTGCTGCTGCCTGGCTGCCTAGCCTGGCCTGTTTGCCTGCCTGCTTGCCTGCCTGTCTGAATGCTGCTTGTCTGCCTGCCTGCCTGCCTGCCTGTCTGTCTGTCTGTCTGTCTGCTGTCTGGTCTGTCTGTCTGCTGCTGTCTGCCTGCCTGCCTGCCTGCCTGCCTGCCTGCCTGCCTGCCTGCCTGCCTGCCTGGCCTGGCCTGCCTGCCTGCCTGCCTGCCTGCCTGCCTTGCCTGCTTGCCTGCCTGCCTGGCCTGCCTGGCCTTGCCTGGCCTGCCTGCCTTCCTGCCTGCCTGCCTGCCTGCTCGCCGCCCCTCACCTTCTTCCAGAACATGATCTTCTGCTTGAGCGTCCTCTTGTGCTGGCGGATGGTGTAGATGGACTCGGAGCGCGAGGCCTGGCGCGAGTGGCCCTTCGGGAACGAGGACGAGCGGCTCAGCGTCTTCTTGTGCTGCTGCTGCTGCTCCCTCTCCCGCGTGCGCTGCTCGTGCCCCTCCGGCAGGATGAAGTCCGTCCTCGAGCCCGCCCGCCGGTGCCCCCGCCCGCCCTCCACCAGCTGCCCGTGCGAGAACGCCCGCTGGTGCCCCTTCACGTACCCGCCGCCGCCGCCGCTGCCCCGCCCCTCCGCTGCCGCCGGTGCTCGTCGGAGGGCCGCCCAGCCCGCCCACGCCCACTGGCATCGTGCCCGCCGCATGGCCTGAGGGAGAGACGTAAAAAAACATTATGGATGGAAAACGCCAATCAAAAAAATACCATGCTTGATCACTGCTTCTACTAATTCTACCAAATAACAATAACACAATTACAAATAAAGATGTTAATACCAAAACTAACAACATAAACAACAATAACACGCATTACTCTCGCACAAAAATCAAACCATACAAACAATAAAAAAAAAATCAAGACCTCGCGCATAGGCCTACAAAACTCACCCTGATCCAGATGAGGCTGGTGGGTGATCATAATGCCCCGTGGGAGGCGCTGCGGGCGTGGCTCCTCCGCCCGCCCACCCGCCCGCACCCCATCCCCGGTGCCGTAGGCGCGGGCGCTTCCATCACCGTATCCACCGCCTCCGCCCGGTGTCGTTCATACTCATGCAACATCACTCCATTCGCACCTGCAACGAGAAAGGAATTAGAGGAATTAGACACGGATGGGTGATGGTGGGTGGGTGGTGGGGTGGATAGGTAGATGTAAATGGGTGGGTGGGGTGGATGGTAGGGTAAATGGGTGGGTGGATAGGTAGATGGGTAAATGGGTGGGTGGGTGGATGGGTGATGGGATGGAGAGGTATGGGTGGATTGGTAGGTGGGTGGGTGGGTGGATAGTGGGTGGAGGATAGGTGGTGGGTGGGTGGATAGGTAGATGGGTGGGTGAATGGATAGGTGGGTGGGTGGGTGGATGAGTGGATGGATGGAGGATGGGTGGGTGAATGGGTGGATGGATGGATGGATGGATGGATGGAAGGATGAATGGGTGGGTGAATGGATGGATGGATGGGTAAGTGGATAGGTAGATGGGTGGGTGGATGGATACTTAATGGTACACTTTGAAGTTAAATAGATCTATATGAAGAAATAAATAAATATATGTAGACTCTTTTTCATTCGATACGAATACCTTTCTTAAATTAAGTTGAATGAGAGAGATCGCGATAAAGAGAGAAAGAGAAGGAAAAAACGAATGAAAGAGAGAGAGAGAGAGAGAGAGAGAGAGAGAGAGAGAGAGAGAGAGAGAGAGAGGAGAGAGAGGAGAGAGAGAGAGAGAGAGAGAGAGAGAGAGAGAGAGAGAGAAAGAGAGAGAGAGAAACAAACAAAGAGAAAGAGAAAGAGCGAAAGAGAGAAAAAAGAAATAGAAAAAAAAGGAAAAAAGAAAGAGAAAAGAGCAGTCACACAAACAAACAAAATTTTAAAAACGCAGCCCCATTAACGGCCCACGTCCCCCCCCCCCTCCGGCTCGACGCTCGGAGCTTGAGTGACACCCCTTCCGAGGACGTCTTCGCTCCGAGGACGACTCGGGCGCCCCTCCATTTCCCGGTGCCAATCAGGGTGCCAAGAGTGCCTCGCCGGCTCCGTCTCTCCCTCCTACCGATTCCTTCTCCATCTCATCATCACAGATTCACAGAGTTCCATATTCTATTTTTTTTTCCTCTCTCTCTCTCTCTTTCTATTTTCATTCCCTTATTGCATCGTCTTTCTCTATCCCTTTCGCCTTCGGGTTTTGTCTTTTTTCCCCTTTTGTACTTGTCTCGCTCCCCTGTGCTTCATTTTCTTCTCTTTCCCTCTTCCTTTCAACATCTCCTCCCCCCCTTTTCTCTCTCCCTTTCTACGTCGTCCTCCTCCCGTCTTTCAGTCCTTCTCTACCCTCCGAACCTCTCTTGTTTTCTTTTTTTTTCTCACGCTATTTTCTCCCTTCTCCACCTCTTCCTTTCACTCATCCTCCTCCCTACTCCTTATCTTCCTTTGCCCTATCTCCCCTTTTCCCCCTTCCCCACTTCCCCCATTTCTCCCCACACCCCTTCTTCATTTCCTCCCGATCCATTCCTAAAACATCTACCCCCTCCCCCTCCCACCCTCCGGCCACCATCTGGGTAAATGTGCACAAGTGTGTGTGTGTGTGTGTGTGTGTGTGTGTGTGTGTGTGTGTGTGTGTGTGTGTGTGTTGTTGTGTGTGTGTGTGTGTGTGTGTGTGTGTGTGTGTGTGTGTGTGCGTGGTGTGTGTATTTGTGTGCGCATACGTAGCACGCAGACATCCACACCACTCAAAATCGCGCCC